GAGTTTCTCCAGTAGCCGGTCGTGAGGGATGACGTCGAAGCATTTGGACAAGTCCAACATGCACAGCAACGCCACCTGCCTCCGGTCCATCGCCTCAAACATCCTGTCAGTCATGGTGAGGAGTGCTGTCTCTGTCGAGTGGTTTGTGCGGAACCCGTGCTGACATGTGGAGAAAAGGTGATGTTCGGTGAAGTAGGAATAGAGCTGCTCATAAACGATTCGCTCTGTGATTTTGGCTATAGTAGGAGACATTAGAGACAATTCTAGTTGTCGTTTCGCGTGGATAGTTCAGTTGAATTTGATGAGTGTTTCTGGGTGTTTTTGAAATATTTCAGCTATTTTAGCTTTTATTTTGCCTCTATTTTAGGAAAGTGGGATATTCCAGGCCTAATTTCAAGTGTTGCAATAACAACTGTCCCTAAAGCGGCGTGCAGTACACAGTTAAAGAGCAAGGTAGCCGCCCAGCACGCAAAGCAAGATGTGTGAAGATATAGGGAGATACCTATGATCGAATTTGCGCAGAAGGTGAGATCTGATTGAAATTTTGATCAAGTAATGCCCAGAAAAGAATTTTTTATTTACTTCATTACATGTTCAATTATTGTATTAACTCTAAACCTTGATTGGTGGCAACCGGCAACTTTTGTACAGCGGGTTCGGCATGCACAATGATTGTAAATTGTTGACCAGACTGAGCAGCTAAATCAACCTGATTTCTTTCAAATACTTTCTGCCTGAGTAGGCTGATACCATCTGAATCCTGAAGTTGCTGGAATGCTGATAGGAAAATTCTAGGGCTCACTGGAGCTTCTTGGTGCTCTCAGGTGTTGCTGGAACTTGCCCTGAGAAAGCCCTACAGCACCTTATTTTGATATTTGTATGCTTTTTCTAAACCTGAGTAGTGAGTACCTACAAAGAGTAAAAAATAAGAAAAAGAACATTCACAGGGGGCATAAGCAAGACACTGTATCTGTTTTTGTTTGTGCAACCAACTAAATAAAAACATTCAAAGCTCAATTTGAGAATAGATAGAAAATGAAAGTGGAAAGCTCTGTCCAGAATTTTGATTACTTGTAAAATCATTTTCTCTAGCAGAAATGATGTGAGGAACATTTGTGGCAATGTAGCTAATAAAGAGTTTCTCGTAATATCTGGTATGTAGCAGTTTCAGCATTTTTCCCAGCCCTGGTCCGTTGCCGGGTACAGTGAGTGCCAGTGGGCTGGGCTGCCTGTTCAATTGGTCGAGTTCAGCCCAAGTGGCTCACTGGGGTGGCTGCCCAGACCAATTTCTCCCACTAATTCTCTCATCCTTCCGGCTCTGAAATGGTCTCATTGGACCGAAGGGCCTATTCAAATTTCGAGTAGGAAAACAACCAGTAAAACGCCTTTTGGGGCGACCAACGGAGCGAGCGAGGGGGTGGGCCTTTCACGTGCGAAATTGCGAGGGGGTACCTCCAACCAACTTGTGCACTGCACCCTACTAACCGGTTTCTAACGATGTGCCAAATTTGAGCGCAATCGGCCTAGCCGTTCTCGAGATCTGTAAGCGGCACCCTGCACGTGCGCACTTGCAAAATGGGTCCCAACTGACTTGCACGGCACCCTAATAACCGGTCCCTAACCATGTGTCAACATTCAGCACAATCGGTTCAGCCGTTCTCGAGATCTGGAATCGACCCCTGCACGTGCGCACGTGCAGCAGCACCCCAACTGTGGCACATGGTCATGGATATGCATTGCCTGGTGGGTGCCTAGTGCCTACCTACCTACCTGCCAACTTTCAGCGCAATCGGCCCAGTATTGTTACCGAGATACCTATTGCAATTGTTACAAAACTGACACCTCTTCGTTTTTCAAGTGGCGGGTGCATAATGGGTCACCCACATGCATCGAGAATAGTTTAATACTTGTTAGAAGGAATGAAGCTACCCTACAAAAATTACCGCATGTAAATCAGTCAAGTGGTTCCTGAGACAAAGTCTCGCAAAAGCGTGACCACGGCCGGCCGGCCGCTCGTACTCAGGAATTTCCCGAAAGACTACGCTCGCTTCGCTCGCTCCGTAATGAGTTTGGGGGGGACGTCCCCCTTCCATTCTGAGAGTGGGGGGGACGCGTCCCCCCGTCCCCCCGGTGGCGGCGCCCATGCCTGAAGCCCCCCCTCCCTCCCAGACGCCAGTCGAGCTCACGTGGTACAGTATAGATTAGGGGAGAGTGGGGCACATTCGTGCAAAAAATGGATAAACCCATATATCTGTTCTTTGGTTAGTGCAATGGCAAAATTGTTGATTGTAGTATGGAAAGGAACTATTGCAGATAGTTTTCCTCTTTAAAAGTTATCCTATAAAATTATTGCTTCCATTAGAAAAAATGACTTTTATTAACTCTGAACATTTGCACGAAACTGCCCCACCTATGGGGCACATTCGTTCAAGAGATGGGGCACTTCCGTTTACCCGGCAAAATTCGAGAAATTACCGGGCATTACCTGAAATTTACCAAAGGAAATTGGCAGGGGGTTATTTCACCTGATTCCTTTCGACAAGAATGCATTGCACAACAAATGTAGAAAGAATGGGCTGGCCAACAAGAATGTGCCAACTGCCGGCCTCCGTGACCTCGCCATGTTCGCGTGAATTGCTTGTCACGACGTCGCAAGCAGTCGAAACTGAGTCAGGCGTGCGTCATTAGAGAAACCTACTACAGATAAAGTCATAAATCGCAAAACTAAAAAAAAAAAATATGCACGAATGTGCCCCCAGGCAGTGCGTACACGAACCTGCCCCACAACGTTATTAGTAATATATTTCAAAATTTCTTTTTGAAAAAATGACACTTTTTCAACAAACAAGTTTGCAGCAGTTCCGTGAATAGAGTGGGCTTCTTCATCCCCAATTTTGAAAAGCTGAACCACATTTTCGAGTCAGGATCACGAAAATGGATGATATGAGAAAAGTTTGGAAAGCTCACGAATATTACAAATTTGCGTTTTTATCAAGCATAACAGCAGGTACAGTGTTGTCTTCTACGGTGAACGAAGGGCGGCAATGATAGACATATTTCCACAATTTACCTTGAGCTCGTGCAGTCATTCGTTTTCCCATAAACTGCTGAAAACGAATGTGCCCCATGCACGAATGTGCCCCACTCTCCCCTACACCAAAAGACACACCTTGTTCGGATTAAATAAGTCGGGCTGGATATAACCAGGCATTAGCTTTATCAGCACCGGGCCACATATTGCAGTGATGAATTGTCCGTTGGAGAGCCGCTTGCGCCATGCATTGTTTGAACGACGCCGCGTTATCAAGCCCACCTCGGCTGTGCCGTCGGCAGTGTCAACAGCACTACAGAGGTCCAGGCGCGTCGCCACTCTGAAAAGCGGCGGGGAAGGCGGCTCCCTGCAATCGGCGGATCAGCTATCGTCTCCGTCGGTTCTCGGCTATCGTCTGACGGGGCTCCTCCGACGGCCGGCACTAGCCGGAAGTGGTGTCTCAGGTCAAACTCGGGTCACCTCTGTGACCTCTGGGGCTCGTTAACCCGCGCCCTGCTGGGGGGGGGGGTGTTTGAACACCCCCCCCTTGTGGTTTTTCGCGAATATCTCAAAAACGGCGGCGCGGAGCGCCGCCGTTTTTGGCACACCTTATCATACATCAATTCTACACATGTTGTGAAAATTTCAGACCAAGGTCATTCAAGGTCAGGTCACCAGGTCACTTGAAGTGACCTCACCTCATAAAAAGTTTCAATGTCTGTCATAGCTACACCGAGTGACCGATCGCTTTGAAACTTTCAGCGATTGGTAAGAGCAATAGCATGTACAAAATGTATATCTCAGAATTTTGATATCGATGACCTAAGGTCAGGTCAATTTTGCGACCTCCCCATTATAAGTCAATGGGAGAAAATTGAAATGCGCCTCTTTTGGACGAAAGACATTATAAACACTCCCTAACACTGAATTACAGGTGGTTTAGACACACTGAACATGAAAATGGTGTCCGTGACCCATGTTTATGACCTGAGGTCATCTTAGGTCACGAATGGTATCTAACAGTTTTTCGCAAATAACTTTTGATAGAGGCATGCTAGAGCGATGAAAACGCCTTAGATGTGTTCAGCTCGACGATACGGATCGACTGATATGCAACATGACCCTTTCCGGTCAGGTCATGACCTTGACCTGAGGTCAAATTTTCAAGTTGACCTTTCAAGGTCAAGTTATAGTTCATTCGATGCGTCTTGACGAGAGGAACACGATGCCGGTAAAAGTAATCTCGTACAAGGCTTGGGTCAAAAGTTATTGCAGAAAAACTGTTTCCGAAAAAATCGGCTATTTTTGCAGTTTTTGCCCCCTGCAGGCAAAACCGTTGACGTTAGGTCAAATCTGAGAAAATTACTCAGAAAGGGCGTTAATAGGGCTATCGAATGCGCTTTTCCGCGGCGCTGTAGCTCTATTGGTTCCCGAGTTATGCGTTGGCTTCTTGGAAATTGTCGACATTCGACCTGGAAATCGGCGAAATTTTGCCTTCAATGACCTCTGGTGACCTGACCTTTGACCTGACCAAAAAATTGACCGAAGTGATTTCCTCTTTATTTTTGACGCTCTTTCGAACGCCGCTTTCCGCGTATCGCTACGTGGCCCAGGAGCCGAGTTAGAAGGGGGGGTGTTCAAACACCCCCCCCCAGCAGGGCGTGGAAATCCAGGACCCCCAGCCGGGCGCGGGTTAACAGTCACAAGGGTGACCCCGGGTGATCCGGTACAAGCTGTCTGAAGTGTGGAGAATGGAACAGTGACCTGACGTGAATGACTCGCCATATGACGTCATATTAAAAGCAGTAGGTTAGGTACATTTGACTTTGCCAGCCCTCCTATCTGACGTCCTTCCTGGCCAGCTGTGGCTGCAGTGGCCGTCACCCTTCCTGTGTTAGACGCTGCGGTTCGGAGCAGCGCTATCGGTGGAGCCCGGCCGGCCCCGTGTCTCGTCGCTGTTGTCTTGTTTCTGTGTGACATTTTATACATTAAAACTGCTTCCAGTAGCCACTACATTCAACGGTTTCCATGTAATTGTCTGGCACAGATTCGCATCACCCCAGTAACAGCGGGCCTTGTGTTAGGTCGTCGAAAGACGGGGATGGGAACGGTTGCTGACGTCATAATATTTACAAAACTTTCTCAACAGTGCACAATACATGTGTTGTAAAAACGAGCTTATAAATAACAGAGGGTTTTTGCTGAGCCCCTCTCAGTCACCATCCATTGTATGACTCAATTCGACTACATTTTGACAATCGTAGAAAACAAGGGTCATATCTCATATACATACATACAATGGTACACACGCTACGGCTACGCTATACCTATACATTGCTAGCCTAGCATCTCAATATGTAAAATTACACCAGCTCAGTCAGCACTGACCTAATAAACACATTTGTTTAGCTTTCGAATTTTGTGGAACTGAAGTCTTAACAGTCAAACATGTGAATGATTTCTTTTCCATTTTAGTACCTACACAGGCGACACAAATTGTAACATGTCTGATAACTGTACTACAAATTGCTGTCCCTCGACTTGTTCTCCGTAGTGGCGCCTCCTCGGGATGGTCCGCGACTCCGCTGATGTCCTGAAACACAAACAGAACAGGCTTGGATACAGCAAATGTGAGCCTTGGGAGACCTAAGCAAAATACAGAGTGCAATCTTAACCCTCGCCCGTATAGGGGGGGTCGAACTGACCCCCCTCGGTTTTTCGCAAATAACTCGCGTAAAAAGCAGCCCATCGCGACGAAACTTTCAGTACCCTCGCGTTAATCAATTTTACACATACCCTAAAATTTTCATGACCCTGACCCTAATGACCTTTGACCTGTGACCTACTTTTCGAGACCATGTTTGGCCGGAATCGCGATTCGGCGTATGTCGGCTCGCATTAGCCGCGCGTTTGCAGTCTTTTCGTGGTTTCAAGCGTTCAAACATAGGATATGATGTTGCTCCCATGCATTAGGATGAGTGTCAGGGTCACCGGAAGGTCAGGTCAGGTCATTGAACTTTGATGACCTCGGTTCACTTTTTCGAGTTCTACATGTTTCTAGGCCAGTTTTTGGAGCTGAATTCGAATTTAGCAACCATATGAACATTTACGAAGTAGTTTTGGCACCTTCGTAACATGTTACGAAGCTGTCAGAGGCGGTTGCCACCTACTACGAATACCCTTACTGGTTGACCTGACCTGACCTGACCCGACCTGGCCTATATGCATGAAGACATCATCTGTGATCAAAACTAACATGATATTCGTGATCAGCACCCCCGAAAAACCCCATAGCAGCCACGCTTTACGACTTTCTAACAGGTCCCGATTTTCCCGACTTTTGGGTCATTGACCTGACCTGGAAGGTCAACCGATGACCTAGGACCTTAAAATTGGGTAATCATCGCCTTCCTCTCGTCACGGGCAACACGCTCGTTTTTTCCGCGAAGCTCTAGCTCGATCAGGGACGAAACGGCAAGGGGGGGTCCACCGGACCCCCCCCCTTATACGTTCGCGGCTGGAAAAACACCAATACGGGCTAGGGTTAACCCTCGTATGCGTGGGGGAGGGGGTCGGATGGACTCCCACTGTTTTCTTTCGCGAATAACTCGCGCAAAAAGCGGTCGATCGCAACAAAGCTTTCAGTACCCTCGAATTGATCAGTTTTACACCTACTCTGAAAATGTCATGATCCTGACCCTAGTGACCTTTGACCTGTGACCTCTTTTTCGAGGCCATGTTTGGCCGGAATCGTGATTCGGCGTATGTCGACTCGCATTGGCCGCGCGTTTGTAAGCATGTCATGGTTTCAAACGCTCAAACATGTGATTTGATGTTGTTCCCATGCATTAGGGTGGATGTCAAGGTCACCTGAAGGCCAGGTCAGGTCATTGACCTTTGGTGACCTCGGTTCACTTTTCCAGTTTTGCATGTTTCTAGGCTAGTTTTTGGAGCTGAATTCGAATTTAGAAACCATTTGAATATTTACGAATTAGTTTTGGTGCCTTCGAAACATGTTTCGAAGCTGTCAGAGGCGGTTGACACGTACAACGAATACCCGTCACGACCCCTACTGGTTGACCTGACCTTACCTGACCCGACCTGGTCTAAATGCTTAGACACCATCTGTGATCAAAAGTAACAAGATATTCTTGAACAATACCCTGGAAAACCTCATAGCAGCCACACCTTACGACTTTCTAACAGGTTCCGATTTTCCCGACTTTTGGGTCGTTGACCTAACTTGTAAGGTCAAACGATGACCTAGGACCTAAAAATTGGGTATCATCGGCTTCCTCTAGTCACGGGCACCACGCTCGTTTTTTTCTGCGAAGCTCTAGCACGATCAGGGGCCAAACGGCAAGAGGGGGTGGCGGGTTCAGCCGACCCCCCCCCCCCACCTACACAATAGAAGCTGTCAAACGCCGCGTGCGATGGTTAATAATATTTTTACAATATTTAACATTATAAGGTATGACTTATGAAAAGGTATAACACTACAGCGATTTTCCACAAAGAAATTACCTCACGCCGGTCACTGTGGGTGGCGCCGCTCCTGGCCGTGCCGCCGGCGGCTGAGGCGCCGCTCCAGATCCTGCCACTCCTGCCGGTGACGTCTCCTCTGCTCCTCCAGCTCCTGGTTGTGCCGCTCCTGGAGCTGGATGAGCTGCTGGCGGTGTCTCCGCGTCACCTCTATCAGGTTCCGCAGGTGTTGACAGCGCCGGCTCGGCTGCCGCTCCTGCTGTCGTGGTTCTGGTTCATGTTGTTGTTGTTGACGTCGTCGTCGTCGCTGTTGTTGTTGTTGTTGTTGTTGTTGTTGTTGTTGTTGTTCTTGTTCTTGTTGCTGTTGTTGTCGTTGTTGTTGTCGCTTTTGCTTGTCTGAAATCAGGAAAAAAACAAGACTTCAAAAATACTGAATAAAAGGGTTGTAGGGTGTTTCTATTCATTTTCAAGTAGTCTCCGGCTATAAAATCAACATGAAATATGCAAATCAGGTGACTGCGCACATGATTTAGCTGCAAAATTATTGACAAGCAATTTTATTAACAGTAGACCTTACCACCCTCAACTGGCTTATCCTCCTCCTTCTTCACTTTGAGGTTCTTCTTCTGCACCTTCTCCTTCTCCTTCTCCTTCTCCAGTTCCTTCTCCCTCTCCTTCTCCTTCTCCTTCTCCAGCTTCTTCTCCAGCTCCTTCTTCTCCTTCTCCAGCTCCTTCTTCTTCTCCTTCTCCTTCTCCTTCTCCAGCTCCTTCTCCAGCTTCTTCTCCAGCTCCTTCCGCAGCTGCCGACGCCTCCTGCTGCACTCCTCCATGAGCTGATCCAGCTCCTCCCCGGACTGCATGTTCGGGTATCTCTCCTCCAGCTCTTGTGACTCCCTGAGGTGTTTCTGTTTCAGTTTGTTCCACTGCGTTTGGACCTTCTGCTCCAGGTCTCCCCACTCTATTTGGTGCTGTCGCTCCAGTACTGCTAACTTCCTTTGGTTTCTCCGGTCCAGCAGCTCCAACTGCCTCTGACGTTTCTCTTGCTGCGCCTGTCCCTCATACTGCAGCTCCACGCACCTGGTAACACTCTCGTGCCGCTGATGGAGCGTTTTCCGCTCGTCATGGTGCCGCATTTCCATGCTCCGCCACTTTCTGTCATGAATCCGCTCCAGACGCCGGCGCTCCTCATCATGCTGCTGGTTGAGACTCCTCCTTTCCCCGTGACCCCGCCGCTCCAGCTGCTGCCACAGCTGCTGGTGCTGTCGCTCCAGCTGCTGCCATTTCTCTCGCTGAGGGCTGGGCAGACCCCCTGATGTCTGGTCCTTGTCTGCGCTGCGCCGCTCCTCGCCACCGGCCTGACCGTCGTCGTCATCCTGCTCCGAATCTGAAACATATCAGTTGGGTAGAAAATATCAGCTGCATGGGCGTTCAACAGACGAACTGCTTAGTGCTAAACGACTACAACTCATTGACAGTATGAATAAACAGGATCTCGTCTCGGGAAGATCACACATTGGACGCATGTCGATTGTCATTAATTGCACTAGTATGTAGGTATTTCTCAGTCGTTTCTGGAATAAAACTGGAACTTGGATGCAAATGAAACAACGGATTTTAGCATTGGTTGGCGTCACTATCGTCTTACCCTCTGAGTCGGCCTCGTGCACCGCCAGGTAGTGCGACGTCATCTCCCACCGATCTGGCCACAAGCCGGTGATAGCGTTGTACATCGTCCGCAGCCGGTCACCGGACAGCAGCTGCTGCAGCCGGCGGCGCCAGAGGCCGGCCGTGGCGTCCACAGACGCGGCGTCTATCTCTGGTAGTTTGTCAAGGAGCCACTCATGCAGATTAGCGTTGATGTGCTGCTCCAACTTCTCCCGAGTTTCCCGGTAAGAACGCATTGGTCGGTAGTTTTTCATCCAACTGTTCTTTACTGCCCGGTCTATATCCCGCCACCAGGCCATTTTACCCGGTACGTTAACTCGCACAGCCTGCAGTAGCAGCTCGGGCCGCAGCAGCAGCTCGGCACGGCCCCGCGGCGTGTCGAGTACGGCGGTCAGTCCGGCCGGCCGGTCCTCCAGCGGCTGCTGCAGCTGCTGACTACACCAGGTGGCCACCTTGCGAGGGTCACCCAGCAGGAAAACGAGGTCAGATCTGGTGAGGAGTTGTATCAGGGGGGCCACGTCCAGCGTGACAATGTCATTGACCTGTGACGTCATTGGCGTCCCGTCCGCCAGGTCTGCTGAGTCTACCACTACCCACGCCATGAACATGAGACACTGCTGCAGGTATGCTCCCGATTCGGTGTAATGCCACCACTGTAGTGGAAGTGGGGCTGTACGGACCAGCGGAGGGATGATATTGTTCCACCAGCACTCCCAGCACGGAGCTGTGTGGCGGAAACGGACACCGTCAACCACAGCCTGTCGGACGAGCGTCCTTCCGAGACGGAGCCGCAGCTGGGACTTCAGCTGGCGCTCTGTGAGTTGCTCTAGCCCGCCCTCCAGCAGCAGATCCACGTCCCACTGAACCTCACAGCTTGCCAACAGGAGACGTGTGACATGCTCCCTCATCAGCCGTACTGCGTCAATGACAGCCCGCCGCTCTACGGTGCTGAGTTCAGCTGCCACATCGATGTTATGATCGAAAAAACACGGAATTTTCCCGGCGTTCAATTTGCCCTCCAGCCAGTCAAGTATTTTGTTGACACCGTCGGTGACGCCTTTCCACATCAAAGCTGGCGTGGTTTGAGCCAGCCACAGCCCTGCCGTTTTTATGAAATATGACTTAATTGGTACATCATCGCTCATCACTTTGTACTTTTTCAATGTATTTTTCATGGCTTTCACAGCCACAATAGCCGCTCGTGTGACTGGAGCGAGGTATCGAACCGTGATCACCTCCGCCCGTGAGAAGGAAATCCGAAACTCGATAAACTCGGTGTCGCTGCCGGGCCGGCCGGTCGGCACAAGGTGTACTCCAAATCGTCGGATGTCAGCCCTCGCCGCCGCTGGCGGGAAGTCCACCTCCAGGTGGCAGCCGTCTAGCTGGTCTTCAGCCGGCCACCACCCGCGCACAAGAACGCACGGCACGTAGTCGATGCCACCGTCTGAGATATCATTTGATCTCTTGACGTTGACAGCTGGTCCGGCGGTACTGATTTTGCCGCCCTTCATAATCCGACATAATTCCATCATTAGCTGGCGGATGGAGTCGGCCGGCAAGGCCTCCAGCGGCTTATCATGACTGCATTTAGTCGTCTTGACCCAGTGCAGCGTCACAAATCCAGGGTTTTTGGTCGGTCGAGCCCACAGCTGCGGTGCAGACTGTGGAGTAATAACGGCCGGCTCCTCTCTCTTTCCGGGGGCCGCCCAGTGGAATGGTCCGTCCAACTCGAACATCAGATCAAAATCAGACGTTCCACCAACGCCCACTAACCCGTCCGTTAGCCCCTCTGCACTGCTGCCTGATCTATTGATGGAGGCTATTCTGAGGGGCTGGTCGGGCTGACAGTACCGACAACGGGCGGAGGCAGCGTCACTGATATCCTGCAGGGCTGTCATGAGTGAATAATCTACCAGCCCGGTGACAGTGTCGCTTACCTCAGCCGCGGTACAGTAGGCCTGCCACCTGGTGGAGTGGTTGTTCCGAATGTCGTGTGCCAGCAGCAGAGTGTCGGGGATGAGATGTGCACACGATCCATACTTCTGCACCAGATTCCTTACTCTCCAGTCAAAGCACCGTTCCAACCTCCTCTTCCGCTCCTCCTTCCCCACACCGAACAAGTCAGCTCGTGACATGGCTGCCGGTTGCTCTGACTCTCCCGGACTGACTGAGGCCGGCCGACGTCGCTGTAGATATATACCGACCCCGACAGGAACACAGATAAGAGGGAACGCTCTGTGCCCGTGTCCGTCCAGTGACAGCGACTGACGCCATGCAGTGGTGAAGTCGGTGGCAGCGCTTTTGTTGGGGATATACAGGGTGTCTCAAAAGTTCGTTCACAGGTACCAGCCATGCTTTTTTTGTCAATAATTCTGAATCAACAATTAATTAACGGTCGACATTTTGCATGGTTATTTGCAACAACCTTCCTCAAGCAGTCTCATTGTTTTCAAGCGCATTCGACCCTTCATGAGCTCACAAAAAGAGTTCATGTCTGACCATGGGTCAGGCATGAAAATGGAGGTCGCAAAATCGGGTCGGCTGAGAAACTCTCTATTTCAGGAGTAATGGGAATGGTAAGTCGGAAATGACCCATTGGCAAACTGTCGGCGAGGATGAGTACAACATGATGATCATCTAATCAAAACGGTGGCTAAAATTTTTGAAGGACAAAACCATGCGAGACTAACAGCGTTTTGAACGACCCTCGTACGGCAGCAGACTCGTGCTCCGGAAAGCAGCTTAAAATGAAGTCATAACTATTGAAAACTGACAAGAAGCTCACAGACAGAGGTTACCCAGTTTAAAAAATTGCAGGTCATCGTAAAATAAAGACAAAGTATCATTTCAAATTATTTATTATATCTATAACGCTAAATTTTGGTGGGAAATAACACGAAAATCGTCAATGCCAAGGACAACTGACCCTCCAAAAGTGTCAATTGATGTAAATTTTTATCTTACGAAGTTTCAAGAGGCAGATCTGGAGCGAATAGCTTTCTTTTAGACACAAAATCCCGACAAAACCGCACGATGGACAGGTTTTGGCCGTTTACAAAGCAGAACCTCTCCTGAGGAAAACACTCCGCAACCCAGTGAAGATCTTGTCATGGGGAATGAAGAGCGTTTGGGATTTGCAAAATTTGCACAACGTGTCAAAGAAACAGATGGCCGACACATTTTTCTACGATATGCTGCGAAAAATTTGCCCCTGGCACTTCCCATTTGTTCAGGGATGGGGTTGTTTTGAAAAGGAAAATGGTGCTTGGGAGGTCGGCGCAAGTCATTCATGAAGGAGTTAGCGCCAGAGAAGACCTACAAAATACTCACGGATGGTGTCGATGCAAGCTGTCGGCTTTCAGGGACAAGCGGATGTTGCCGGGGAGCTCGTCAAACCTAAATCCGACGCAGAAACTGCAGGGGATTCCCCTACAAGAGATTGAAAGCTGGTAACCTTTTATCAGCCTCCGTCAGCTGACGGAGCGACGAAAATCGGTATGGACAAATATTTTTGGAGATACAGCAAATAGTTTGACCTTCCGAATCAGCTGTCAAAGCATGCATATTTGTCTAGTGTGCACACAGACACCAAAACCTTAGATTTTTGGCCGGTTCTTATATGCTTTTTGGGCATGGGAAATGTGTGAACGAACTTTTGAGACACCCTGTAGTTTGATGAAAATCCACATGTCCTTGTGTTGTCACTAGTACTGAGAGGTCTAAGTTGTAGTACTGAGAGATCTGAGTTGTCACTAGTACGTGGGAGATCAGCAGCCGACTAGATGGGATATGGTTCCGCATCACACTAATCGGTACACTCTCTGATACCCCAGGCCTGCCACGCTTCGGTCCCGGTATGAGCGCGGATTCTGCGCTCAATAGTACAGACCACAGCAGAAGTAATGTGGAGTTTCAGTCATGGGTATGTTCTGCTTCTGAAGCTTAGGAACGATTAGCCAGACTACAATGAAACTTTGAATGTAGCTTATATGTATCGTCACCCTTGCAGCTGGAACTTTAGCTATTAACATCTTCTTTTCGATCACTCCGCATTAACCCGCGCCCCACTGGGGGGGGGGGGCTATTTATAGCCCCCCCTCCCGTTTTTCTGCAATAACTTCCAAACCGCTTGACGGATCGACGCCAAACTTTCAGTACCTTCGGCTGCATCAATTTGACACCTTGTGTCAAAATTTGAACTTCGTAGCTACCATAGACCGGCCGGAAATGACGTCAGAAAGACGTCATGTTCGTCCGATTTCGACGCAAAACATTGAACCACGGCAATCGCTCCCAAGAGCTCAGTTTTTAAGCTAGATCCCATTTCTTTGCATGAAAGGACTCAGAATTGACCGCGCTATCAAACTGCTATCTCGGATTTTCAAAATTTCGAAAATTTCGAAAATTTTATATAAAATTATTCAAAATTTATATTTTTATATTTTTTCAAAAAGTTTTTGACTTTTCGAAAAAAAAACGGAATATATGTGACAGAACGCATGATAATGACTAACTCTAGCAAGTTTTAGCTAAATATCTTCAAAAATGGCCAAGTTATACGCATTATTGCAAAAAAATCACAATTATTAATTTTTCAAATCATTTTTTCAGTACGTATTTGACACCGTACACCAATATAAATGGTACCATCGTGTTCCTGAGCTCAAACTGCATCCAATAGACACCTTTTTTGTTGAAAAATTTTAACTTCAAAATTTG